TATTGAGGAGGGGGGAAAAAAAACATGAAGCCTCTTCCATGGGCGACAAGCCTCAGATTAAACCTTTCCTCCTAGGGAGTCCCTAGGTGAGAGGGAAAGAGGATAGCAACTTCCAAACTTCACCTGAGATTCACTTATATTATTGCACATATTTGTTTATTGTAATTTGTTCTATTGGTTACCATTGAGCTCTTTTACCTGCCCATAATCCTGCCAACTGGGGCAATTGTCATGCTAGGGCTGGGTCTGGGGCTCACAGACCCCTCAAGCCCCTTCAAAGGCTGGGTCACCAGACCCCTCACAGGCAGGTCTATGAGCTAGGTGACTGGCCAAAAGTTCCTTGGAGCTGTAGGTTTGAGAGCATGGCTGCATGTGGCAGATGCCTGAGACAGTCAAAAACACCAGCCAAGTCGCAGGCTGCACATGTACACTAACCCCACCCACACACAACTTATTTACAAAGATTGCACCGCACCACCCCCAACTGGGCCTAAGGCAAGGGGACCTGGTTAAATTATTCTACTTTCCCAACAGTTACATTGGTGATAGTGAAGTTCTTTTTATTAAATATGGGGTTAAATAAGATATATTTTTAAGAAAATCTCCCCCACCACTCTGGGAAAATGGAGTAGTCCACTGGCTGTCCCTGTGGTCTGTGATCAGCTCAGCTAGTGTCTCCGTGTGTGGCTCGCTGGCTGTGCATGGCTGAAAGTGTGCATTAGGGGAAGGAGGGCAAGGGCCTGTGAATTATGGTAAAGTGAAGACAATTTTCTTATTTGAAGAGTGGACTTCTCCTAGCAGAAATTTTTTTAAATGTAAGTAATGAAAAAATTAACAAAGAAATCATATTCACATTAAGACACTATAACAAACCAGTTTTATTTTTACATTTTATATTGGTGACCATATAAAGTAAGTGGATTTCAATGAATAGTTTTCTAAAAATAAAGAACTAAATATAAATATCATGGGGGGGAATATTGGTCAGCTATATGGTGGTTTTAATTTGAAATGTGAAAATAGTCTGTGACAAATCCCGGCCTATCCTGTGATGTGGATGTACTGAAAGCCATGAACTTTAGAAATGGGCGAACCTGAATTTCTGTCCTGTCCTGACTCTTGGAGGCTGTGGCCAGCACACCTCTCTAAACTTCAAGTCCCTTAGTTGATAACTAGGAATAAAACTGCTTACCTCATAGGGATGGGGTAAGGGTTATATGGGGGGACAAGTGAAAGGCACAGAGTCTTTATAAGAAACAGATGTAGTAAGTGTGATGTAGTAGATGCTTGATGTACATGTTTTTTAGAAACAACTGGAGCAAACTTCCCCAGGCCCCACCACCCCACAGCCTTCTGTGTGGTCTCTTACCCTCATCAATGTGTCATCTCATTTTTTACCACTTCGCTGAGCTCCTTGGAGGTGGGACCTAGTCTGTTAGCCCATCCCTTCCCCATCCAGTGTCTTACACAGTGTGTGTTAGTAAATGATGAATATTTGTTGATCGTATGAAATGCAAGTAGAGGTCATAATAGTAGTCCTCAACCCAGGTCGCACATGACAATTACCTGGGAGTTACCTGAGATACATTCCAGAGACTCTGATTTAATTAATCTAAGGCAGTGTTTCTTAGCCTTTGGGGCACATTCAAATTGTGTGAGGTAATTTAAAATTCCACAAGCTCAGGCCCCATTCATGATCAATTACATCAGAATCTATGGGGCTGGGACCCAGGCATCAGTATTTTTAACGTGCTCTCCCAGATGACTCCATTGTGTAGCTGAACTGGGCATCGCTGGGCTAAATGAGGAGATAATTTATGTACACATGGAGTGGGTTATTAATGTGTTTTTAGATGGAGAAAAAAATAAAATTAGGAGGGGGGTGAGTCATTTTTTTGTTTATGGCTAATAAAATTTTATTTTTGTCCTTTCCAACTTCGTTGATTTCATTTAATTGCCAAGCACAGAGTGCTGCTCTCTTCTAAGTCCACTTCTCTATCTTTTTGGCTTTTTGCTATAGCTATGGGGTGACTATGCTGGATTGTTCCCTCAAAATGTATGTCCACTCAGAGCCTGTGAATGTGACCTTATTTGGAAATAGGGTGTTTGCAGACATAATGAAGTTAAGACGAGGTCATTCTCAATTACGATGGACTCTAATCCAGTGACTGATGTTCTTATAAAAAGAGAACACACACATTTGCACATACACACAAAGGAAAACTCCATATGAAGACAGAGACAGGTGTCAGAGTAATATGTCTAAAAGCCAAGGAACGTCAGGGATGGCCAGCAACGTTAAGAAACTATGAGAGAGTCATAGAATAGATTCTCCCTCAGACCCTCGAGGAGGAACTAACCTTGACGACATCTTGATTTTAGACTTCTCACCTTCATAACTATGAGACAACGTATTTCTGTTTCTTTAAGCCACCTAGTTGGTATAATTCATTAGGGAAGCCCTAAGTGACTTAATTGAAACCTGTAGCCTCTTAGTATATTGTCCATTAAGAAGATTAGAGTCATATTTCTGAAATCATTCCTTTATTTTTCACACACGTAGCTATTTGCTGAACTTTCTCGAACTACAAGTCTATGTTTCCATACAATGGAATGTGAAAAATTCATGTCTTTTTCAGAAGGCTAACCTGGAAATTAACAAATGTATTTCATATTTAAACTTTTGCAGAAGGCTCAGATCACTAAAGCAAAGCTTCTAAAGATAAAAAATAGATGTGCATGCTTGTCACTCTTGGGCCCATCCACATGTGTGCCCTAGGGTATCCCTGAACTCTGTGAACTCCTGAAAGAAAGTCTTCTTTTCCAATCTTCTGAGATGCTGCAGATCAGGAATTTTTGCAGTTGCATATGATTAGAAACTTCATTCATCCAGTGAGAGAACATTAGTATTGCAACGCAGAAGGAGATGTTCTCTGTCAGGAAGAAATCAACTCTAAAAAAAAAGAAGGGGGTGGTGATGGAAAATTCTTTGTTAGTTCCTATGGGTTGAATTGTATAATGCCACCCCCCCCAAAAAAAAATGCTGAATTTCTAACCTCCAGTACCTCAGAGTATAACTGCATTTGGAGATAGGGGATTTAAAGGGTGATTGAGGTAAATGGGGTTGTTAGGGTGAACCTAATTCAATATGACTGGTGTCCTTATAAGAAGAGGAGATTAGGACACAGAGGAATGACAGAGAGAAAGCAGCCATCCACAAGCCAAGAAGAGAGGCCTCAGAAGAGACCAAACCTGCTGATACCTTGATCTGGGACTTGCAGCCTCCAAAATTGTGAGAAAATATATTTCTGTTCTTTTAGCCCACCTAGTCTATGGCACTTTGCTATGGCAGCCCTAGCAAGCCAATACAGTGGTCATATTCAACTTCTCTGCAAGGTCAAGACATTGTTTTAAGCTTTAACAGACTGTATGTATCTGTATGTAAACTGTGCATCTGTTTGTATAAATACGCATGGATGGATGTCTGAATGGATGGATACTCCTCTAAGTGTTAACATTACATATCTCTGGATGGTGGGATGATGGGTGGGGTTTTTTCCTTCTCTGTACTTTCCTGTTGTACTGGATTTTTAAAAAATGATTTGTGTGTACCATTTGTGCAATGGCAAATAAAAAAAATCTGCTTTCAAAAGAAAAAAGAGACAAGGATTTCTCCTTGATAGTAATGATCTATTTCTGGCTGAAGTGGCCCCTTTTCTTCCCTGGGACAGGTCTACAGTATTACAAGCAGGAGACCTCCAGCTCAAAGCAGAAAACACTAAACCAACCCGCGTATGATACAGTACTTCCTGCTGTCCTGTGACTTTTAGAAAAAAGCAAATTTGTTTTATGCTATTAGTTATCAAGATGATATTTATCAGAAATTATTTTTCCTATTTTTGTTACATAAATAATATGAAAAACCTCAGAAACTCTCTTTTTAAGCTCAAAGTGCAGAAATAATCCCAAAGTTCCATGTAATTAATGCCTTTCTGGCGTGTAAAATGCATAGAAGGCACTGCCTTTAAGGATAGACCTCAGTAATAAAGTTTGTTCTCACAAGAGAAAAAGTTTAAAAGTGGTATTTGGAGTCGATTCAATCTGTCAGTATTAATCTGTTTTTCTCTTCTGCAGTGAAGAAAATGAAGGTTTTGAGAGCTGCGGGAAAGACTCTGAAGATTGTTGATGCAAAGCTTGCTCACTGCACGACACCCCCCACCCCAGCTCTGCTATAGGAGAGGGAACTGAGAACAGGATGGGATGAGGTGGCCCCTCCGCCATGACACAGCAGCTCCTCAGCAAAGCTGGAGCCTGAACCAGGTCTCCAGGTACCCTGAGGGTTGTGTTTCCTTGTCCAAGCTCCAGAAAATCCCTTTCTTCCATATCCCCACTTCCTATCAGATCTAAGAGGGAGTCCCACATCTCCCCCAGCCCCCAGCCCCTGCACTAAGTGCCTGGTGATTGTGAACACTGGGAAGAACGCCAGGTAGGAAATACACATGCAATTGTGGCAAAAATTCAAGTGTACACAGGTTACCTCTTGCATCTCTACCCTGGCTTCAGAGAGCTGCAGCAAAGACTTGGTTCAGTAGGAAGTCTCCAACCAGAATTCTTAAGGCATCAGTGTAGCATGGAGTTGGTCCCATCCCACAGGGACTCTCAACCCTGGCTGCACACTCAAATCACCTGGCAGAGATTTTTTAAAGTACACCTCGCTGGGCTCCCACTGTGGAGACACTGATAAAATGGGCTGTGGTGGGGCATGGGCATCAACATTTTCAAAAGCTCCCCAGGTGATTCTTGTGTGTCACCAGGATTAAGAGCCACTGCTAATGTCCTCAGCCGACCTCATCTACTATACTCTGCAACAGAGATCCTCAAATCCACCCCAAAATCACTGAGGCTCTGATGCAGTCACAGCAATTGTGAAAAGTGGTAAATTCCCCTTAACTAGTCTCTATATAAGAATAAAGGCAGGTGAGTTACCTGCAGGGAGTCCTTCACGCTTTCACCCATCGGAAGAGGCTGAAGACATAGGCACACAAGGCCTGGAAGGGCTCCCAACAGAGTTGTCGGGCCATCTTCTCTGCTTCCTCATCCCCTTCTGGCCTGGGTCCATGCTGGATAGCGTTGACCATGGGTTGGGTGGTGGGTTTGGCATTTCCTAGCTGCATTGCTTCTGTGGGTTTTACAGGGGCCCCGGGCCCAGGCGATAGCTTCCCAGTCTTGGCAGTCTTGGAGAGCTGGGTGGGAGCTGAGCTGTCCTGGGGGCTGGAGGCCACTTGCTGCATGTGTGCCTGTGGCCCAGCCTTCTGGCACACGGATGGCTTCAGCACTGGGGCCCCCCAACACGCATGGACCAGGTGCCTCAGTTCCTGCAGGGTTTGGTTCCAGTAAGACTCAGGGTTGGCGGTGAAGGCCGGGCACACACCAGGCTGTCCTCTGTACTCACACCAGTACGCCTGGCTTTGGTTATGGCAGTCGACACGGAGCTGGACTGCCCCAGCACCTTGCCCCAAGCTGCTGGGGTACATAATGCAGGAATCTCCCCCACGTGTCTGGAAATGGAATTCCTCCCTGGCACGTCCTTGCTTTTCCCTGGAGATCTGTCCCCAAGCCCCCAGGCAGGACAAAGCGACCATCAGGAGGCAGGGAATGAACTTCATGGTGATGCTGCAATAAACCTGCCTGCAACCCTGCACCAGGAGAGGAAACCCAAGTGGGACAAGATGCCCTTTATAGGGGGATGCACAAGAGACTCTTTGTCTGCAAGGGTGGGCAGGGCGTTCTGCAGCAAAAAAGAAAACACACACACAGACCTCAGACATGGAGCATTTGGCTAGAATGAAGCAGCCACCAGGGGACTGCCTCCCACAGGCAAAGGGAGCAGCTTTTTTGAGTGCGTTAGAGAGCTCAGCCACAGGTCCTGCCGTGGTGACACAAGGCGCTACACACAGCGTGGGCCTGAAGGGTTTGCATTTCCCAACAGTAGGGAGCTTGCTCTATAATCGGCCTTTGTACCGGGGAACAGCCTTCTTTGTCAGCATTTGGTATATGCCATGGTGTGGCAGAGGAGTTCTGGAGAAGGAGAGGTTTGCAGCTCATTCTGGGGAAGTCCCAGGGCTTTCTCCTGCCTCTTGGGGTCCCCATCTTGGGCTGTCATGGGTTTGTTAAGCCGAAAGATGCCAGGGTCTTGTGAGCCCAAGTCTTGTGAGACAGTTTGGCAAATGCAAAAAAAAGGACGCCAAGGTTAAAAAAAGAGTGGTTTGAAAGTATGTGCTAGGTACACAAGGGACACAGAGAGCCCCACACCTATGAGGCTGAGCCTGGCTGCTTCCAAGGGGCTGTCCTGCTGTCACCGTGGCCGCAGTGCCCATCACCAACTGAATGATGCTCAGTAAAGTATGCCAAATACAAGCTTACACTGTGATTTAAGGTCTATTTCAGATCATGGATTCTACTTTAAGTTCAATCGAAATAACACCGAATTTTAATAATATCACAGAAAACCACAATTTTAAGTGTTGTTATTGTACTAAAAATAAGTGAAGGAAATTGAAAATAACTTTTGATTCTGTGTCAAGACTCATATACTGGTACAGTCATAAATGTCTTTCCTGGACCCTTTCAGAGGACACTGTGGGCGGACTGAAGGTGACAATGTACTGTTGGGGTTAGTGTTGGGGTTGGCAATACTGGTGTCCAGGCTGAGTCTTGCAATCCCCTCACAGGGGACATTGGTGCCCTGCATAGCCTGCCTTCCACCTGGATGGCCTGAGCCCTGAGAAGACTCAGGGGGCTGGAATGAAGCCAGGCGGGGCGTCAGTGGTGTGGCAGGGCTCTCAGAAAAGGCCACTGCCCCAGCCCGGTAGGGAGCAGAGAAAGCTTCCGAGAGGTGGTACCAAGTGTACAAGACAAGCTACTCAGCTCCTCAGGTTAAAAGAGAGGTAGAGGGCAGGTTTTTTTTTTTTTTTTTTTTTTAATTATTTATTTATTTTTAAATTTTTTATTTTATCAATATACAATGTAGTTGTTTTTCATGACCCTTTACCAATTCCTCTTCTCCCCTCTTTCCCCCCTCCCCCCCATCAACATCATATCTGTTCACTTGTCTTAACAAGTTCAAGGAATTGTTGTGATTGTTGTGTCTTCTTCCCTGCACCTCCCCCCTACCATGTTTGTATATTTATTTATTTTTAGCTCCCACAAATAAGTGAGAACATGTGGTGTTTCTCTTTCTGTGCCTGATTTGTTTCACTTAATAAATTTTCTCCAAGTCCATCCATGTTGTTGTGAATGGCAGTATTTCATTCTTTTTTATAGCGGAGAAGTATTCCATTGTGTAGATATACCACAGTTTCCTTATCCACTCATCTGATGATGGACATTTGGACTGGTTCCAACTCTTCACTATTGTAAATAGAGCTGCAATAAACATGGGAGTACAGGTATCCCTTCGGCATGATGATTTCCATTCCTCTGGGTATATTCCCAGCAGTGGGATAGCTGGGTCATATGGTAGATCTATCTGTAATTTTTTGAGGAACCTCCATACTATTTTCCATAAAGGCTGCACCATTTTGCAGTGAGGGCAGGTTCTTAAGGCAGATTGAAAAATGCCTGCAAAGGGGTATGTTCTCGAAGTGTGGGTTTATGGACTGCTGAGAGACAGGCTGGAGAGGTGACATCCAGGGTGGGGCTCCACAGCCCCTGCACTAACCAAGGCCCTTAGTGCCAATTCTGAGGGAAGAGCCTTGGCTTTTGTGTGCTTCAGACTCAAGAGCTCCTGGAGCGAATGTTCTCGAACCTGGCTTGCTGTGGCCAGAGGACAGGTGGAGCTCAGCTCCAACCCTACTTCCCCACCCACAGCAGTGTCCTGGGCAGCGACCCACCAGCCCAATCTCATCCAGCTGCCCTGAGGGTATGGCCAGTCTTCTCCAACTCCCTAATGAGTTTAACTTTACCCTGCAATGGGAACATATCAAAAGAAAGCCGTAATCACACTCTCCTCCCTTCTGCTTTTTGCAACAGGCCAAGCCTTGTGGCCTTTGCACTAGTTGTGCTCACTGCCTAGAAACCTCTTTTCCCTGATGACTGCATACCTGGCTCCTTCCTGCCACCTTGGCAGAAACCTTCCCTGACTATGCAATGTAAAGGAGCTTTTCCGTTATTCCACCACTGCATCCCACTTCAATCCTTTTAAAAGCAGTGATTTGTTTTCTTATTCACTTGTGCATCTTTAAGCAGGGAGTGACATTATCAGATATGCACTGTAGGGAACTTATGTGATTACAGTGTTGAGAAAGGATTGAAGATGGTTCCAGGCTGTACACAGGGAGGCTATGGGCAAGCTGGTGCAGTAACTGAGCGAGTTTTGTTCAAGTTGAGCTGCTGTAACAAAAGGCCCTCTCTCTCATTAACCCGTCTTCCGAGCTCATGCCAGGCAGTTCTTTGAACTAACACATGGCTTCTAAGGTTTGTCTGGTTGTTTCCATTTCCAGTGGAATGGGTCCATGATAAGCAGCTTTGTCTTAGCAGATCATTCACTCACTTGCCACTGGCCTAAGCCTAATCACTTGGCCACACCTGGCAGCAAAGGAGGCTGGGAATGTAGTCCCCACCAAGGTGGACATATGTCTAGCCAAAACTCAAGGGGCTGGAAGCCTGAAAAAAATGGGAAGAATGCCACACCAACCAAGGGACATTATGAAAATTGTAAGAAGACACTGGCAGTGAGGATGGAGAGGAGGGCTTGGTAGCCAGTGGTGAGAGGAAGGGAGAGAGAAGGCACATGTGGCTGAGTCGTCTGGCTCAAATAACTCAGGGAGGTGAAGCAGCTGAAGAAAGGCAGCCAGTGGGTGTGTGCGGGAAAGAATAGTGGCTTAGGGCAAGGGGCAGTAACAGTGGCTTGTGAGCCAAATCTGGCCGGCCAGTTCTTGTAAAATTTTTTGGAATACAGCAATGCCCATTCGCTTACATATTTTCTATGGCTGCTTTTGTGCTACAACAGAGTCGAGGAGACACAGACCATATGGCTCAGAAAGGCTGGCACATTAACTGTCTTACCCTTTACAGAGAAAGACTGCAGACCTCTGGTTTAAGGCACATCCGGGTGGAGACCTTCTGTGGACACATGGGTTTTTGGAGCTCTACTGTGCCTAGCACTTAAAGTCATGAGAACTGAGGGGGCAGGTGAAGCCAGGAGAGTGAATGAAATTGCCCAGGGAGGAAGCAGGGGTGGACTAGGAGAGAACCTGAGAAAAGTAAACTGATGGACAGGAGGGAAGGTGAGTGTAGGAAGGAGGCTGAGGACTGGAGAGCCAAGCCCCAGGAAGACACAGGAGAGGTCACCTTTGGGAGCCTCCAAAGAGGCAGTGGAAACAGAGAGGCGGTGGTCAATCAAGTCAAGTCATTGGTGACCCTGACAGGAGCCTTTCAAAGGAGTGGTGGTTGCAGAACCAACAGGAGGTGAGAAAGTGGAGATTAGAGATGGGTTGAGAATTCTTTCAAGGAAATTATTGTGAAGGGGAGGAAAAGAGAGAAAACACATTGACTGCCATGCGAGAGTGTTCTGTGGAGTTGAGAAAAGGCTTATTTTTTAGGAAAGATGAGACATTTAAGACCATATCCCACCCACCACTCATGTGTTTGGCAGTAGGAGATACTGAAAATTAAACAGACAAATGTTGCAAGAGTTAAGCTATGGAATATTAAATTCAGTTGGCTTGAATAATCTGAATTTTTTAGATGGGGAATATAAAAATCAGGTTTTCAAAAATGGCAAGTTGAGGGATGATTTCCTCCTGAAGAATTACACACTATATAGCCTAATTTGTCCAAGCAGCAAGACTCTCCTGTGTAGTTGAGCAAAAATTCATTTTGCACATGTACATTTAGAAGTCCATCAGATATGTAGTGGATATCAAGTGTGTCTATTGTGACTTGGACTGTTCTCTAAGAAATGCTGACTCCAGTTCTGAAAAACTGAGGACCTGAAAATAGAGCCTACTCTGAGGAAATAGGCTATTGATACTGACCATGTATTACTTCCGTATTATGTGCATTCTTAACGACGGGAAAGTGGTGGAATACACATGTAACATAAATCCAGATTTCGTCATATCAAATTTGACAGTCTCTGGGTCTACTCAAGGAAACAACATACAGACCACATTTTCCAAATTCCTTTTTATTGAAATAAATCAGGACTGTAATCAGTACATGAAAAGATCCATTGAGAAGCCTATATCTTGAATTGCATTACATAAATGTTAAATTTTCTCTGAACAGTTTTTTGCTGATGATCACTTTTGATAATGACAAATCCAACATGAGAATCCCAAAGCAAATGGGTATTTACTTTGTGCTGTCATGTACTTGTAAGGACCCCACTTAAAGGACTCATTCACATTGGATACCAAATCTAAGAATCATGACAGGATCTTCTTATATTTCATTTTAGAATCCTCACTGTTAAATCAACTGACCTTTATGTTAGCAGCACTTCAGTTAATGTTTACCCTTATAAATTAGAGAAATCCAGTAAAGTGTACACTGTTATGAGCATCTGTTAAAACAACTCCATTTTCTAATGAACAGCATTTCTTTCTCTCAAGATCTCTCTCTGTTGCGAATTTTCTAGAGGGCGTAACACAGGTTTCTCTGTGTTTGATTTTGCGTTCTATTTCCAAACCAAATATGACAAATCACTAACAAAGTTGACGCACATCTCTGAGAAGAAGGATATGCTGAAGGCTTCATACACTTTCAGTGAAAATGGATTATTTTCAACAGCACCAATAAGTCAACACTGACCAGACAGTAAGCTCATTTAGAAAAATATCCTACAATACTCCTTTGTTTAAACCACTCTTGACTGTGGTAACAAAAGGTATATACACCATTTACTGTACACGAAATGCACCTTTCCTGTAAACTGCTGCGTGCTTAGCACACCTCACATACAGCGGTGTGTTAGAAACTGAGCCCTCACATTTCAACAGCTGTGTGACACAGAAATGCACTGAATGGAAACAAACACCCCATGTGCCATAGTGTCTAAATAGAAACCCAGTGTAAAAAAGTAACAAAAATAAACAGAGAAGGGGGCAATCATCCTTGAATAGTGATGGATACACGGACTATGAATGTGCTTGTGTTCATTCCTAACAAAGCTCTACCCAGTGACCGCCTGAGTCACTACATCGCCACCAGAGTTCCTCTCGGATTTGGAAAGTCCTTGTAGGCCCAGAGACTATCAAAGGTCTGTGATCCTTTCTACTTTGAGTGTCTTGATGCTGAAACGAAGGTCAAACAAAATTTTAGAAACTTGCTTTGAATTATTAAAGAGAAAACCAGGAATGCATAACCCCAAACTGGTCTCCACCGGGAGCCCAAGAATTACAAAAAAGATAAACTTGTCCAATAGGAAGTTCAGCCTGATTTGTGTCATTCATCATGATTTTAGTTTCTGAAATAGCTTTTTTAAAAAAGTTATCATGGAAATATGTTTATTGCAAAACAACTTTTAAAAATATGGAAATGTATAAAAAACTTAAAGTCCATAATTCCCTAGGTACATGGTTAGGACATAGATATCTAGATCTAATTTTTTACTGTAAGTAAGTAAAAAAAAAAATTTTTTTCCTCTACACATGCAGTCATTGTGTGTATATATACACAAATGTACATATATACATACATGTACATACACACATACATGTAGTTATCGTATTTATATACACGCACACAATCATACTGTATAATTTATACATTGACCTAGATTTTCCAGATAATATATTAGGATTAGCTATATTTTATGTTCTAAAAACTAAAAAGTAAAGTTTATAAATTCTCTCATATGAAAGCATCAAACTTACCTCAAGCAATTTCACCATCAGCTATCAATGATACAATTGGCTAAAAAACAAAAAAATACAGAAATATAACAATCCCACAAATCTCTGTGCTGAGAAGTAGGTACATCACAAAGGTAACCGATAAATCCAGGCTACACCTCAGAAAGTTTATCAGGAAAAATATGTCAGATAAAACGCCGGTTCCTCTGGCTTCCGTTTGCATTGCTTTTAAAAGAGGATAAAGAGAAGACAAAGAAGATAGAGACAGAAACAAACTATGACAAGCAGAATTGTGAATATTCAGAATCTAAGGTTACAAGTGGTAAGGGTCACTAAGAATATGTGTCGAAGACACCAGACTAGCAGAAACCAGACCATGGCAGCAGATGGCAAACCTACCACAAGACACTTTCTAAAGTCTGCCTCTAGGAGTAGAAGACAGAAGCAAGTGGAAGTTCTTTAGGGAGCTTGTAACAACTACGAATCCATAGGCCTGTGACCAGACAATGCACGTGTCCCCTAAGTGGTGACTCTCTGGTTAGCAGTCAACAGTAGTCCTACCATTGTCTGAGCTTACTCCATAATCATGGCCTTGCCAACCAAGAAAAGGCGCATGCGGGGATGAGACTAATGAACCCCATCTGGAAGGTCCGCATGTCCACTCTGGCGCCACCCTCCCTGCCTGTGACTTTGGGTGGATCACAACCCCTATGAGCCTGCACAATGTGCCCTTCCCAGTGCACAGTGCTGTGACAGATGCATGAGGAGGGGAGGGTGTGCACTGAGCCCATGTGAGCACCCGCAAGGCAAGTCGTTCTTTCCAAAGTGCTTAACTCTGGAAACCGCACATGCTTGGCCCTGGCTTCCTCTCCTGCACTCTTCTTTACGCTCTCAGTAAAGAAACAAATTACTGAAGGGGCTCGGAGGGTCGCTGGGAAAGGGTACAGGCAGGAGGTGGCTCAGTCTCTTGCTACTGCCTGTGGCACTGGGCCCTGGGGCTGAACATTATGAAGGGCCACAGGCTCTGGTGATCATTTTGGAAGAGCATCTGCATTTGCCTTCTTGAGCAGAGGGACACTGGGCACAGCAACTGGACTGCTGGTTCTTTTCCTCCTGCCCAGTCATGCTTCTCCTGGGGGGCCTCCAGATGCTATGTGCCATCCCATCTTGGAAAAGTGGGTGCTCTGGAAACCTCAGAACCAAGAAATGAGCAAAACACCAATTCAAGCAATGTCTTGGTCTGTTTTCCACTGCTGTAATAGAATACCAGGGACTGGGTAATTTATAAAGAAAAGAAATTTGTTTCTCACAGTTTTGGAGGCTGGGAAGTCCAAGAGCACAGTGCCAGCATCTGGCGAGTGCCTTCTTGCTGCATGGTAATGGCAGAAGGACAAGCAAGTACGTGAGACAGAGAGGGAACAAGGCCGAACTTCATCCTTTTATCAGAAGCCCACTTTTATGGCAACTAAACCTACTCCTGAAATAATGGCATTAATCCATTCATGGAGGCAGAGCCCTCATGACCTGATCACCTCTCAAAGGTCCCATCTCTTAATGCCATCACAATGGCAATTAAATTTCAACATGAGTTTTGGAGGGGACACTCAAACCACAGCAAGCAACTGAAACTAATCCTAGAAGCTCCAGATGTGAAGGGAACAATAGGCCCTTAGATGGGACCATAACTGAAGGACACATTTCTTCAGGCTATGAGGATTTGGCCTCAAAAGTGTAACTTCCTGGGCACCCAACACAATAAAATAATAAAAAAAAGGCCACTACATGACACCTGGACACCCTTCTCCCCAGAGCAGACATTACACACTGATGGCAGCACTTGTCAAGTTCATGAGGATTTAATCTCCAGATTTCAGTCAACCCGGGTTTGCTGTGGGCAACCTGACAACAGACAGGAGGCTGAATCTGTCCGCTGACACACCTCACAATTGTCTTTACGGAAAAAGAAAGGTCCTGGCCCCCTAAGACCTGAAACATCACACCCCCTACTAGACCAGAGCACGCACAGGTGGGGGACGGCTGCTGCTCTCTTAGCATTCCCTCGGGTCCACCTGCTTCCTGCTCCGGGCTGCAGAAATGCAGCTGTGCAGACCCTGCCGACTTCTAAGAATCTACAGCACCTCTATAGCAGCAGCAACAAGAAGGCAGTTTGTAGACACAGTTGGTTAGACACACGTGATATTTTTTCTCAACACTGTTTGCTAACATTAAAAGGGGAAATTTCATATGCAAAGATTTCTCTTCTTTCCAGAGAAACTGAACTTTCTGGCAACACTTGCCTTTTGTTTTTTCCTCTTTCTATCAATTGGTAGTCTTCAGAGTGAAGAATGGGCAAAGTTACCGAATTTCTCTGGACCTTTCCACTTCTGTTTTGGGACCTTTTCTGTGCCCCCTGCCTTTGAGAGAGCAGGAGAAAGAGTAGTCCAAATCATGGCTTGGCCCTGACTGGCTGTGGAACCACAGACGTGGCCTTCTGTCCAGAGTCTAACTGTGAAAGGGAGGAAGTGACAATGGCCATCAGGACTGATGTGAGGATAGTGCAGGAGGACACACAGCAGTGTCCTGCCCCGACTCCTAGGGCTCCAGGCCCACACTGGGGTCTCGCAGCTCTTAAGCCTTTGTGGTCCCACATGAAGCTACTTTCTCTCCCGATCTCTGAAGCCACAGCTAGAAAGAATAAGCTTATTTCCACAAAAAATCCACAGAATTCCCTAGAGGGAGAAAGAACACAGCTTGTGTGATCTATAAATGGGGGTGGGGGGGAGGTTCAGAGACCAGGTACCCAACACTTCCCAAGATGAAAATATCTCCAGGGCCGGCCTGGTGGCGCACCAGTGCGCCGCTTGGGAGCGTGGCGGCGCTCCCGCCGAGGGTTCGGATCCCATGTGGAGACCGGTTCCCGCTCACTGGCTGAGCGCAGTGCGGGCATGACACCGAGGGTTGCGATCCCGTTACCGGTCAGTAAAAAAGACAAAAAAGAAAAAAATATATATATATCTCCATTTGCTGTGTGGACTCTGTGTGAGAGGCAGAAGCATCGGTGGGAACAAAATCCAGACTGATGCAGGCTTAAATGAAAGCCGATTGCCTTTTCCTTCAAACAAAAGCAAACACACAACCACACGCCTTGTGATGGACTAACCAGAGGTGACGAGTGTGCGTGCATGTCTAAGAATGAACACAGATGAAAGGAAAGGGAAGGAAAAAAACTAATTTATGAAACTGAACACAGCTCACTTCATGGTTCCTATTTAAGAGAATGTTCCTAGAGACTCCCTAGGAAGCAATATTTGTTGTCAAACTGCTCCTAAGTTGGTAAATATTGGTGCCCTGATTTGCAGAATTTTCCAGAATGCTTTTCTTAAAGAGACAAGCATCATCTTCTCCATGCACTGATCATTCTGCTCCCAAACCTAGTTTTGTCCTGAGATGCAGGCAGCATGTGAAAACTGAGTGGTAAACACTAAGGAAAACCACAGCCGCGAGAACGAGTCAAGGAGCACCTACTCAGGCTTATTCGTGCAGGTCTCGCCAGGTGTCTTTGCTGACATCGAGAGCCCAGTCAGCATAAGGAATGGAGGCTGGGTGGAACTGGCCGTGCTACCAGACTGAACAGTCCCATTTATCTTCTGAATCACCTCTGAGTTCCTTCCATCAGAAATGTCAAGGTAATGAGAAAACAAGATTATCATGAACCACAAACCCTTAAATAAAGGCTTATCCTGGTCAAAGCGTGAATATTCTCTCATCTGCTTTAACCTCGCGACCCTGTGCAAACAGGGCTTTTAGTAGCTCCGTTTTCCAGGTGAGGAAACTGAAGTTCAAGGAGATTAGATAGCACTTCTGCAATGACACAGTAAGCAGAGTGACCCCTGAGCCCTCTAGGAGGGTCTCGGTGGAACAGAAATGAGTCCCAATGTCCCTAGAGTTTACGAGACGTCATTTCCTCCCCTTCTGAAAATAAACCAACTCTACTGATTGACTCAAAACTTATGTTTTTTCCATTTACTGAGCCCAGAAGAGCTGCAAATCCAGGAGCTCTATCAGGGTTCCATGGAAGGTGGGTTATTCAGGAAGAAAAAGTTTCTGACTTAACTGTTACCATGAAAGATGCGTCAGGGAAACTCAGGGAGGGCTGCAGTCAGTCTTTGGTATTTTTTTCTTATTGAGACAAAACACTTCAATGTGTCCTTGGGACTATACTATAGAATATAGGAAACAGAAAGCAAAAGGAATTAAAACTTTTTGTGGACCATTAATGAAAGAATTCCAACACGAATATATTCCTAGCTCCATTTTCCACAAAAACGTTAATTGTTAGGTCCTTCACAGGGACAAATCCTTCAAATGTATATTATAAACAGAATTCGCACAGAATCATCCTAAAACGTTATGTATTTAATACAACTAGGGCATTTCATCTATTTTGAATTCCATCCCAAGATGGAATGTTCATTAACAAGTGGGATTTAATTTCCTGTGCAGCAAATTAAATGCAAGAGTCTCCTAATGTTCCAGTTCTATGGGTAAAAACTGGTAAATAAGGAGAACCGCGTTTCACTGTAGAGGCGGGCACCCATGGCACCCGTGGCACTGAGTGCGTGCTCAGTCACTCTCTTAGTGAGGGCTAGAACTGCACGTCTGCTGATCTTTAGAGGAAAGTGCTCAGGAAGGGCATGACAGGATAGGTAGGATGAATCTGCCTCTTTTCAGCACTCAGCTCTTGGCTGAGAATCAGTGAAAGTTGAGCCAGCTTTGGTGATCATTTCTAAATGACAGAGGACCCATGGCGATACTGGCGTGTTGAGAGGTTCCTAGCATCTCAGAGCCTGTCTTATCAACTCGCAAAGCGACACCTCCCTTTACACAGCAGAGGGGTTTCTCGGATGCAGCATGCTCTTCTGGGCATTCTGGTGCTTCTCCTTTTCTAGATTTTCCTTCTGAGAAGGACTTGCTGCCATCTGTGGGGAGCACGGTCAGCAGATGGCCTCCAGTTGTCAGGGCCTTCAGGGTCTGGCTCTATTGTAGAGCTGCTCTGCCCAAGTGTCTGTCCTTCCTGAGCAGCCCATATTCAGTGACTGAGGGAGGTCAGGGTACAAAGGCTCCTTTGGTCTCAATGAGGGCAACTCTTGACAGGCAATGCTTACTCCAGAGCTCCCCACCAGGTGGGCCAGGGCTTTGGCAGGCCCACCTCAACTTCTCCCCCTTCCTCTCACAACTACAGATCCTCATACACTTCTTGCTCCCTAAACTCCATTTTAGCACTGCTTCCAAAAAACCCAAATCCAACCTACAGCATCCTCCCACCCAGGCTTGCCTGTCTGTCTAGCATCCTGCAAGCAGCCTCAAGGATGCCTCTTGGTACAGAGAGGACTCGTGGAGACTCAAAAGCAAGAGGCAAGCACCAGGGACCAATTTTACAAATTAGGAAAGTCCTAGAAGATCTGATGTTAGGACAACACAGGTTGTTGAAAACAGCTCTCCTTTGACCTTGAAAATTTCAGTCCATAAATATAAGGTACACTCCAAGCACAGTACACCATGAAAGGGAAGGCTAGTACATGATGCAGGAAAGAGCAGCATTCACTCTCCCAAGAGCAGACCAGGCTAATTGATACTAGTCTCAAATCAGTCTTCAAATCTCTCATGACATGGCACTCTGGCAACCAACGAGAGCATACTGGAAGTAGCAAATGGATGAAGTCAATTTGCCATTTCAGAATTTTATTATCCCTGTTTTTTATTCTCACCATTTCTGCTATGATGTGAATGTTTGTGTCCCCTCAAAATTCACTTGTTGAAATCCTAATGACCAAGGTGATGGTATTAAGAGTTGGGCCTTTTGGGAGGTGATTAAGTCATGGGGGCATGAGCCCTCATAACTAGGATTAATACCCTTATAAAAGAAGCCCCAGAGAGCTAGCTTGTCCTTTCTACCATGTGAGGACGCATCAAGAAGTTGCCATCTATCAGAAAAAAGTCCCCCATCAGATGCTGAATCTGATGGCACCTTGATCTTGGACTTCCCAGCCTCCAGAACTGTGAGGAAATAAATCTTTGTTGTTTCTATACCACCCAGTCTATGGTATTTTGTTATAGCAGCCCATATGTGCTAAGACAATTTCCCTGCCCCTAAATGGCAAATTAAATGCAAAGGTCCGAAGTTTTTGTAACGTTCAAAGTTGTAAGTTGGGTAAACCTTTTATCCTTCTGCAAGGACATGTTTTAATAACTTATTGGTTCTGTTCACCTTGAAACCTGACAAAGGTGGAGCATGAGCTGTTGATAGGCAACATTGCTTCACAAGAGGATGCCTCTGACTGGCAAATTGCATCTGGACTGAAAGTCACCTGTACATAAATACCCGGAGGGAAGCCAAAGCTATAAGCCTCCCTGGATTTGGTGACTTTTTAAACTGGTTGCATCCCGTGTAGAGTGTGGGGCTTTTAAGACAAGGTGGGTCCCCCAGTGCTCCAATGTTAGACACTTCTTTTGCACCTGATATCACTTGGGGGCCAAAGAACACTGGCTCAGGGACAGCTGTGTGGACATGGGGAAGGACCACACCCACTGACAAGGATGGCCCACAGCTGCCCCTGAGCGTACGTCTTGTTCCCCATCTTCTGAACAGACAGTTCCCTGGTTGACATATGGGTCTGAGAGCCTCAGAAAAGGACCCTGGGCAGGTAATGCTCAGAGTTTCCTGACAAATATCCAGAACTATAGGAAGGTCCTTAATTCTAGACAAGGTAAATTCACAAAAATTTTGGAGGAAGGTTGGGATTTTTTTTCTGGTTGATTATAATTAGAGGGAGGGAGGGAGGGAGGAAGGAAGGAAGGAAGGAAGGAAGGAAGGAAGGAAGGAAGGAAGGAAGGAAGGAAGGAAGGAAGGAAGGAAGGA